TGACTCTGATCATGACAACAGGCCAGTTCCCAAGAAGCTCGTAGATTCAGGTTTCAGCAAAGACAGTGTCAAATCAGTGTGTTACTTACATATATAAAAATCAATACTTTAGACAAGTGTTGTGGTTTTGCCCAGTCAGCCAGCCCCTGGGGCTGAGAATGGTTTTGTCCAGGTGAAGTTCCGGACAAGAAACTAATTAAAACTCTCAGTAACGCCTTTGCTAATTACATTTTTAAGAAAACGGAAGAGAAGGCTTATTGTGCAGTTGAAATTAGGAGCGGTAGCCATGCAGGAGAGAGGCGGCGGGCCCGAGGAGGGCCAAGATCCTCTCCTCCCCCAGCTTGGGCTGGGGTGGGGGCAAGTGTAGTACTGAAGCCCCCCTTCTCTCTTGTAAGAGAGTGAAGAAAAAGAAGTTTAAAAGACTAACTGCTTAGACAGAAACCGCTGTAGAGAAATTCCAGTGAATTGATAAGGGACCTCCAAGGTCAAAACTGGCAGCCGGAGGAGAGAGAAGAAAATTTGAAGGGGGGAGAGCTGCTTCTTCCCTTTTCCACTCTCTCCCTTTAGCAGGAAAAAGACTGAAAAGTAATCCCTGCCACTTATGAAAGTTTGTTGGGGTGAGGAGACCCCCCATGAGGCTCACAGAAGAGTTTGTGGATGTACCAGAGAATTGAGACTTCATGAGACACCTGAGGTGAGGCAGAGTCCTGCTGAAGACTTTGTGGCCCTGGAAGGGGATGATGCTTATGCCGGAATGAGGACAGCTTGGATAAGCTTGGGATCTCAGTGAGAGATCCATGCTGCTGGTGCTGGAGATTTGTGACCCTGAGAGAACCTACACTGGAGCGAGACGGCCTAGGTGGGATGTTGGGTTCTGTATGTGGGATCCATGCTGTTGCTAAAGATTTGTAACCTTGAGAAAGAGACTTACATCGGAACAAGGACAGTCCGGGTAAGATGTGGGGATCCAAGTAAAGGATCGATGCTAGACCATGTTGGAGGGGTCTATCAAGGACTGTTCTCCTGTGGAGAGGGACCTCCATAGGGAAACAGGAGTGGACTCTTAAGCCATTGTCCCCTATAACTCTGTAGAAGAAGATCCATGGAAGGCAAGTGTCCCCTTGCAAGCCCATGGAAGAGAAGACCCTTCAGGACCTGGGTAACCCCCAGCCTTCGGTCTTAGCCCAGGAGGGGGGTAGGCCCAGCCCTGGAGGCCAACACAGAGCGAGAGAGAGGGATGAAAGAATTCCAGTTGAGATGAGAGTGCTGCAGAGTTACTGGAGAGAGAGCTGGAACTCCGAGAATGGAGAAAAGGACTACTTCTCCTCCTTGGACTGATATATAAAGGGGAGAGGAGTATTTCTATAAATACATAGCACTTTTACTTGAGTAGAAATTGTTGTAGATATAGTTCTTTGGTTTTTAATTTGTTAGTAGTTTTTATTTCACTAGTAATAAATATTCATATTATTTTCCCCAAATCCTGTCTCTTTTGTCTACATAAACCTTCTCTCAACTAATAGTAATTGTGTGGGGGGTGTGAAAGCAAACTGACCCAGAGCAAAACCACGACAACAAGTTATATATTTTTTTTTCCCTTCAAAGACTAGTGTTGAAAAAAAATATTGTGGGGGCTTTTTTCCCTCCCATTCCTTTTGGGGAAAAAAAAAGAAAAAGCAATGTTTAAATTTTCCAGCTGATGCTTTATAGTGTGATATTTTATGTTAGGTTGCCTCAGCCATGTCCAATGATATAAAGTTACATGATGTAATTATGTGACTTGCATTGAGTTATCTCAGTATGACACACCAGGCAGGCGACCTGCTTTAAAAGACACACTTTCCTGGAAACTGCAGATAAATTTTCTGCGAGTGGGAAGCAGTTAGTAGTGGCTGCCCCAGGTAACAACATCAGGCCTGACATTCTGCAGTATATTTATTATTGATTCGGTGGATGGTTGGTGAATGTTGCTGATAACAGAAAATTCCTTAGACTAAAGAAACCCTCACAGAATAGCAACATTTCCCAAAGGATCAAGTCAAACTGGGTGACTGAATAATATGGTGATAACATAGTGCTGATGATATGTTGATAAAATGAAATGTAAAACCTTAATACATTAATGTGGAAGGTAAATAATCTCTTGCAACATGGCTTAACTTTTTAATACATCGTTGGGTTCAGAATCAATACTGCTGAGGTCTTACTGAAAGTGTATCTAAATTTCCCTATGCACCATGATTCTGTTTCATCTGCAACTGATGTAACATCAATGAAGGCTCAAAATTAACAAAAAGTGGAAATACTAGAAATCAAAAATTTTAGGGCATTTTGAGCATCCTCTAAGAAGCTTCTTTTTTTTTTTTTTTTTTTTTTTTTTTTTTTTTTTTTTTTTTTTTTTTTT